TGTTAACTCCTACAAAAGATAGTGTTAACTCCTACAAAAGATAGTGTTAACTCCTACAAAAAAAAGTGTTAACTCCTATAAAAGATAGTGTTAACTCCTACAAAAAATTAATACCGCTCGTATTGCTGTAAAAAATATCAGTCTTGCAATATATTAACACATAAAATAAAAATGGTTTGAAAAATATAATAAAAATGTTAATAAAACAATAATCATTATCATTTACGTTTAAAACAAAATTTTTAAAATATAGATAATAAAAATGTTAATAAAATAATAGTCATAATCATTTAATCGTAAAACAAAAATTATTTGAAAAATATGATAAAACAATAGTCAAAATCACATAGGTATGTTAAAAAAAAAATTTTTTGAAAAAAAATAATAAAAAATTCAATAAAACAATACTAATCCATAATCATTTACGTATATTTGTATGACTTGTTTTATCGTTATTCAACAATATTCGATGCCATATCGCTGATCTATTTAAAACTTTTTGTACTGCAAGTGCCGATATGAACGTATAGTATATAATATGGATATAATCTAACCTTCGAGAATTATCATACAGCGTATAAACAAGCTCTATTCAAGCGTTTATTTATTAAATAATGTATATTTATTATTTTCAGGTTATGATAATTTTGAGCTTTTTAACTTTAAAATTGTGAATTTAAGTAATATTACCCTATTTTTTAAAGGGAAAAATTTCTAAGTAGGAGATTACAATATCTTTGATTTTCAGGTAAAAATTTTAAAAGGTTATTAGTGTAGGAGTTTACATTTAATGATGATTCAGGTAAAAAGGTTATTCGTGTAGGAGTTTACATTTGGCCCATAATAATACTTATCGATTATAAAGACCAGAAGTTAAAAGTAATAAATTCCTTATCGTTTGAACCCAAGATATAATAGTGATAATCATTGTACCTACTCGCTTCCGCTACAATAACTTATTGTCATAATGTCATATTTTAAGTAATTGGACCATTAGTGTCACATGCGCAATACTCGCGTGTAATCCCCTCGACCCCATTAAATACCTATTAAGTATGGAATACGGACAATTTGTGACAACGGACACACAACAATACGATCATGACGAAATAACAAGGTATGATCACAACAAACTAAATTTCGTTCAGTCTACGCAGAATAGGGTGGGAGTCATCCTCGTCATTTGATTGGCTTATATTTAACGCGCCTTTTATGAGTTTTTGATTGTATAATGCTTTGATAAATTAATGATAAAAATATAAAATAATATTTTTTTTATATGTATTTGGTAAATTTTAATTTTTCACTGTTGTTTTTATTTGTAAATTGTTGTTCTTGACTTTGTCATTATGCCAGTTTGTGCATTTGTTGGATGCTATAGTGGCAGCAAAAAAATTAAAAGTAGCAATACTAATGTTCACATTTATAGATTCCCTAAGGACTCACATATGAGGGCTCTATGGTTTGAACAAATCCAAAAGGGTTCAAACGAAACAATGAATATTAATTTTGAAACGGGTATGTAATAAGTAATAACAATACACACAATTATATAAACAAGCAAACCAATAAAAAAATGTATCTATTAACGCTGTAATACTAAAATACTCTTCAATGAATCATTAAGACGTAATAAATCAGTTTACATGTTAGAATTAACAATTTAATGTTTGACGAGTTTTATTTTAGCTGCAGTATGTTCATTACATTTTTCACCAAGTTCATACGAGAACAAAACAAGGGCACAAAACATTTTAAATTATACTCCCAGACGTGGCAGAAAACTAAAACATGATGCAGTACCTTTAAGGTTGAAGTCCCATCTATTTCAGATATTGAAGTTGGTTTAATACGAATAGAAAAATGTTATTTTTTTACTGTTGTAGTTGTGAATGCCTTGAAACATGTATGCATGGTCAAAATAATTCGTTTAATCAATCATCAAAAATTTGTACACCGTCTGGATCATTTTTGGTTACAAATTTAGCTGATTTATCAACCAGGTATCTATAAACCCATTTTCTGTTATTTTGTTGAAATAGCTAAACTAATAAATTATAATAATGTCTGATTTGTATACTCTGTCATAGTTTACTGTACATTTTTTTTTACAGTATTGAACCAGCAGTAAAAAGAACTTGTAAAATTAGTCTTTTTGATGCTTTGGAATCTGACACAAATTTTGGGGTACAAGTTCTTGCAGAAGAAGAAAATGGTTCTTGCTTGTATCAAAAGTAAATAATTAAATCTTCAAAATATAATTTTTGTATTTCTTCTGTGACTATAATAATTTTATATTTTATATTTGCTTTTGTGTTTTGCATGACGAGTTGTAACCCATAGTAGATCGGTGACTTAGGAAGATAACCATTTGAAAATCCTAAAAGTTTATGTCAATATAAATACTTCTTCTTAGTTCATGCGGGAGTGTAGTTTATATAATAACCTGATGAACCAAGAAACTGTATTTGATATTGAAATATTATATTTTGCAATTTTTTTTTTAAATATTTGTGACAAATGTATAAACTATAATTATTATTTTAAATGTATAGATTATAATTGTTTTATTTAGATATTTATAATTAAATACATTATTACCTTATTACTTAACTAACATGTACTCATGTAAAATAATTTACAAATGTGCACTTCAACTTGTATTTTAAATATTACTTTATTCATGTTTTTCTTTTTTATAACAAACTATATTGTTTGTTGGTTTAGTATTATTGTATTTTTTGTTACTACTAGAATTTATTGTTTATTCATTGTTATGCATGATGATAAAATAAATGTTAATTGTTTTTTATTAATTCCTAAATATTATTTATTTGAATTTTGAGTATAACACCATACTTATAGATTGAAAAATGATTTTGACAATTGTAAGAAGGATAAAGAGGATCTTGTAATTGAAACTACTAGACTTCAAAATATCGTTAAAGGATTAAGTGCTCAAAATGAATAGTATAAAAATTTTGTTGATTTGGAAAATCAAAGATTTGAAACTCGTTTCAATTATTTGTTAAACAAAATATTCAGTCCGACCCAAATCAGTCAAATTCTTCATCCAACTAAAAAAGTCTACAAGTGGTTGCCTGAAGATATTTCCTCAGCAATCACTTTGCGCAGTATATCCCCTAAAGCCTACCGATATTTAAGAAATAAAAAGAATTATCCGTTACCAGGTTAGTTTATACTTAATTTATAATATGGGAAAGATTTTTTAAGAAGGAAAAGAAAATTAATATTCACAAGTTAATTGGTTCCCAATAAATAATAAATTCTACTAAATATAAAAACAAATAAAAAAGAATAATTATTGGGTACCATTATACCAACTATACAATTTAATTTAAGGTTTATCTACATTAAGAAGATGGGCATCAACTTTTAAAGTTGAACCAGGAATACTGGAAGGTGTTCTAGCTCTAATGAAAGCAAAAGGTAAACAATATATTTTGTTGACAAACTTAACTCCATTAAATAAAAAAGGTTGTTTAATCAATGTTCTTAATAAAGTGTTGTATACTTATATTTATTTTTCAAGGAACACTTATGACTAGTAGAGAAAAACTCACTGTAATTTGTTTTGACGAGACTTACGTGTCTAACAGATTATGTTATGACAAAAATGTAATTGGTCCACATAAATGTGTACAAACGGTTGTAGTTAGAGGTACCAAATATTACTTGAGTTTGACTGAAAATAATAATTCAATTTACTATTACCTTATTAAATTCATTATTTAATAAAATGTAATTCAATAACAATTTAGGTCTTACAAGTAATTGGAAACAGCCAATTTTTTATGATTATGATACTAAAATGACTAAAGAATTATTATTTAACATAATTGAAGAGTTACACAAAATTGATTTCAATGTTATTGCTATGGTAAGCGACATGGGTCCTTCAAATATGGGTTTATGGCGGACCTTGAACATTTCAATTGAAAATACAACGTTTGAACATCCAACTACTTCCAATAAAATACATGTTTTTGCAGATGTGCCTCATCTTTTGAAATTAGCCAGGAATCACCTATTTGACAAGTTGAATATTGAGAAATAAAAAGAAAATTTAATAATATAAAATAATAAATATTTATTTTTTTTAGTGGTTTTGTACTTCCAAATTCAAAGTATGTAGGTAAATCAATTTTACAGACTCTTTTGAAAATCGATTCAGGAGACTTAAAATTAGCATATCGTTTGACTGAGAGACATCTGGAAGTACAGGGTTGTGGAAGGATGAATGTAAAACTGGCTTCGCAAGTATTTTCAGATACTGTTGCTAAAGCCATAGCTTATTGTGGGGAAAAAAATTATTTAGATAAGCAAAATTGGAAAGATGTAAGAAAGGTTTTTAATTTATGTGCTTCAAATAATAGACCTATGAATATATGTTTACCTGAAAAATAGGCCTCTGAAATGATTCTGCTGTTCAATAATTGGTTTGACATCTTTAACACTCAGCATAAGTTTGATGGCGGTACTCCAAGCTATGGAATAAATTTAGAGCATCAAGATGAACTTCTAGATAAAATGAGTACTTTTATATTGGAAATGAGAGTATATGGAAAAAAAACCCTTGTTCCTTTTCAAAAAGGTTGTAATTTTATATTTTATAATAAACATATATTGTTTTATTAATTATTTGTTAATGATTATAGGAATAGCAGTATGCAATAAATCTTTAAAATCCTTACTAAAATATTTAAAAGATGAACATGGCATGGAGTACATCATTGGTAGGAGGCTGAATCAAGATATAATAGAAAACCTATTTAGTTTTCTGAAAGGCATGACAGGTTCAGCGAGCAGTAGTATAACAGCTCTGGATTTCAAATACTGGCAAGTATTTATATGGTAGTTTGAAATTTGAATGCATTAATATAACTAAATTATGTATAACTACCTAATTATTTATAGTTTACATAAATAGTCATAAAATAATTAAATCTTAAATAAAAATGTATAATTGTGTACAAAAAATGTTTAGCCTGAGATGGTACATTCTTGGAAAACATTCAGATTTTGTATTTACCGAGAATACAAACTCACAGGTTGATCTCGAAAACAGATTATTGACTGAAAATGAGTGTTTGACTAGTCAAATGTTGAATTTGAGTACATTTGAAACAGATGACCCAACTGAAGTAGCCAACGTACAGTGAAATATTGGTAGTGAATGTACACCAATGATCAGTGAACAGTGCTTTGATCTCCTGAGAGAATTTGAAGTAAATTAAAAATAATTTAGTACATAACTAAGTCACACAATCAAACATAGTAAATATTAATAATTAATGTGATTTAGATGGCAGAAAACGAACCTTTTAATGAGCTTGAAGAGGATAGTGCTCAATATGTAGCTGGCTATATTTGTAATCGGTTTGCCAGAAAATATCCAGATTTGATAAAACAAACAGATGATGGTGATGTTGCAGAAGACTGTTGGACTAATGTCAAGTCAAGAGGTGGTTTGAAATTACCATCAAACAATTTGATGGCAGCAATCAAATTTCTTGAAATTGAATTTAAATTAGTGAATGGTGATAATATTTCAAAAAGTAAAGGGATAATGAAAAATATGATTAATAGATTGACACCAATAATTCAATATTTGTCTATCCCGCAAGAAGTTATTGACTGTCTAGTTAGGACACGGACATTCATAAGAATGAATAATCTTAACAAACAATTAATTTCAGATAAATATCAAAAAAAAAAGTAGAAACACGAAAAAAACAAAAATTTATCAAATAGCCATGAAATTAGTTTAATATTATATTATTATATTATATTGTATTTGTATAATACATCTTCAATAAATTAAAACATTTAAATTTACACTAAATAGTATAATTATTATTTATTATAATAAATCATGATTAAATAAGTTATAATACTAACTTACGCATACCTACCTATATTTTTTAAAACTTTTCATCGATTATAATTTATAATTTATCAGCATAATATCAAGGACCAATGAAATGCCGAGGATGACTCCCACTCTTATTTCTGATAATAGAGATTTAATGCTTATCACAAAGTTGTGATCACGGACTAAGATATAATGGACTGGAAACGACATGGTCGGCGGGGATCGGGGGACGGCCACGAAAAGATGTCACTTAGCTGATAAGAATACTGTTCTTGAAGTTTTCAGCGCTACCGGTGGTTTTATTTGGCTACACAATTTGTATCTTAGTCCGTGTTAAATACAGAGGGCGCTGTGAACTCCAAGAACAGATAGCGACCCCCCGCACTTTGCCTCTTGTACATACATTCGTGGCCATGATAAGCTGCTCGTTTCCAGTCCATTATATCTTAAGCGGCCCCTAGACGATCAATAATATTGTCAATATTTGTATCAATAATATTGACGGAACCATATTGAAGCAAGTATTGATCGTTTAGAAGGATATTGATATGGATTGTCAATCATTGAGAGAGATTGATAGAAATTTTGATTGATGCTCATTGACGGGCAAGATTGACAGGACGTATTGAACGTCTAGAAGCGTTTATTGTCAATATTTCCGAAATTGTTATCATTTATCAGTCAGACAGCATGGCGGAACTATCGACACCGCTTGGCGACGAATCGGGTGGTGAGCGTGAGTTTTTAACACTTTTGATAACTTTATATCGTGATCATCCTGAACTATGGCAATTGAGATCAAAAGATTATTTCAATAAAAATAAAAAAGCTAAAGCACTCCAAACAATTGTGGACACTTTGAAGCCGTATAAATCTGATTTCACAGTAGAGAAATTAAAACAAAAAATTAATATATTGCGCACTAATTTTAACAAATGCTACAAGGCGATTGAAAATAAGAAACGGTCAGGTGCATCAGTGGACGATATTCCAGAACCCAACGTATGGTATTACAACGAACTGCTGTTTATCAAGGACCAAGTCGAGATAGCAGAAACTCAATCTTCCGAGGTTAGTAAACATCAAATATATTTTATTTATTTATGTGTATAATTATATTTTACGACCTCACTATTTCTATAAATGAAACTGGTATGATAAACAATCCACGCATGGCATATTCGATGGGCAGTCGTTATTTTGTTGCGATAAGCTTTATTTTATTTTACACACATGACACAGTTGGATTATTGATTATTTTTACCATTATTGTTTACATATTGTATTTAATTTCCATTTACTTAATTTCGAATTTTTTTCCTACCTAATATATAATATTACATAATATTATAATAATAATAATAATAATATATAATATTTAATAATAATAATACATAATATAATAATAATAACATAATATTTAATAATGACTTATACAATATACCTGCTAAATTTAACAAATAATACAGAGGTACCTATATGGTTCTAAGTCAAATAATTGTTTTGCCACGGAACTGAGCCAGAAGAGTTGAAATACTCGCAAAAATCATCTCTTATTTTTTTTGCTTCAGCCGCTGAATTTCCTCTAGTTCTTTGAAGTTCTGCCACGTGCTGAGTTCCTTGTCTCCATGAACCTTCTTCTACTCTGCCAGTATCTTTGTTTTCGTAATCAACATCACCACGTTGCAAATAATATCCATTATTTCTTGTTGACAAGTAGTTGTGTAAATGACAGCAAGCCATCACTATTTTCCTAGCCTTGTGTGGTTCAAAATTAATATTTTTTTGGAATATTTTGAACCTCGATGTTAAAATTCCAAACGCATTTTCAACAATCCTGCGTGCTCGGGACAATCTATAATTAAAAATCCGTTTTTCATCCGTGAGTACTGCTCTGTTGTAAGGTTTCATGAAATTTGGCTGAAGTTGGAAAGCTTCGTCACCGACAAACACGTAAGGAAACGTTTTATTTGAGCCGGGTAATTCACGTGCATTAGGAATGTTTAATTGGTTCTGAGACAACTTTTGCCAAAATATCGTGTTCTTCAGAACTCCACCATCAGATATTCGTCCATTCGCTCCAACATCTACCATGATAAACTGATATTTCGCATTGACAATAGCCATGAGAACAATACTGAAAGTACTTTTGTAGTTGTAGTAATAAGAACCAGAATTGGGTGGTTTTTTAATCAATATATGTTTGCCATCTACACTACCAATGCAATTGTGAAAGTTCCAAAGTTCTTCAAAATTCTCAGCTAGTTGTTTCCAACCCACTTCAGTTTTTGGTACCTGAGTAAAAAAAAATCATTTTTTTTTTTTAGCATAATTTGAGTGAAGACTTACAGACACTGTCTACTGACCAGCCAATCCCTCTACCACCAAAGAAAAAAAAACCATCTTCAAAGAATTCAACAGAGGAGCTAGTTGGTTTAGCTACACAATATTTTAAAAAATCTGAAACTGAATCGGACTTCATAGCTAAGGGATGGTCTCTAAAGTTAACCAGACTGAATTCAGATCAAAGGTGTTTTGCGGAAAAAATAATTAATGATACTTTGTTTGAAGCAGAAATGGGCACATTAACGAGGCATGGAGTGGTTTTCTTAACGTCTTCACAATCTGTATTGACACCTTCGTCGTCCCAGACAACTACGAACATTAGATCCCCCTACTATTCGTCAAGCTGTGTATCATCATCTCCATCACCTACATCTTTACTTTATTCAAGACCTACCTCTCCTCCGATTACACACATCACTCCTAATCACTATGTTTCTCCAGTAAATTATACTCCAATCCAAAACTCTGAAGATACCGTTCAAGAGGAAAATGTGCCAAGTTACTTGTCAAGATTTTCTTCGTTTTAAGTTAACAAACAATAGTTTTTTAGTTTTTATATTTTGAAATAAAAAAGGTTTTGATGTAATTCAAGTTGTATTTTTTATAGTAAATAATAATTTAAATATTGTAAAAGTTGTTTTTATATTTTAAAACGAAAAAGGTTTTGATTTTATTCAAGTTGTTTTTATACTTCATAATGATTATAATATGTTAATAATGATTTTAATATTGTAAAAGTTGTTTTTATATTTTAAAATGAAAAAGGTTTTGATTTTATTCAAGTTGTTTTTATACTTCATAATGATTATAATATGTTAATAATGATTTTAATATTGTAAAAGTTGTTTTTATATTTTAAAATGAAAAAGGTTTTGATTTTTGCTTGATAACCTCAAAAATAAAATAAGTACATACATACCTGTATATTATCTTTTAATGTTTCGATTATTGCATCAGAGGTTTCCATTATGATGCCTTCCAAAGTCTGAGGGGCAATAGCACACATAAACTTCAAATCTTCCAAATCCATGCCAGACGCTAGATATCTTAATGTCACAGAAAGTCTCTGACTTGCAGGGATTGCTTTACGCATAATAGTGTCTTGTTTTTCTATTTTGGACCTAACTAGCTCAAGTAAAGTTTCAAACCCTTCTTGGTCCATTCGAAGAAAATTTTTGTAATCTTCTGGTTCTGTATCTCGAAGAACGTTTAGCAAATTTTCATGAGTAAAACGACTTCGCAGCTTAAACCACTCTTTTGACCAGCGTCTAGTTCTTTTCTTTTTTTGTTTTCTCAATTTGAATATTGCCAAAGTCATAGCTAGAAACCCCATATCAGTATTGGAAACCATTTCAAAATATTTAAATTAACACTCCGAACACGACACGAATACTTTGAAATCCAGAATCGAATGAGTATTGACGGCTGTGTTTGACGTGCTGATTGAAGTACATTGACGCTGGTGTCAATCTAACTCGTCAATATTATTGATCGTCTAGGGGCCGCTTTAGTCCGTGGTTGTGATCATACCTTGTTATTTACGAATGGATCTTCGCAGGAAAAAATTTTTTGTGTCCGTATATAATATTGCCTACATTTAGCCCCTTTTTTGCAGTTATCAAAATGTGATAACATTGATAAATCGATAACATAATTTTCATTATAAATTATAATATTATATTTTATTATATTAATTATAATTAAAATAGTTAAATACATTAATAGTTAATAAGTTATTAAAAAACGCAATATCGTAATTTAAAATTTAAAAATACACAATTCATTGAGAATACAGTATAAATGTACAATCTATTTACGTGGAACATTGTTTTAAATTTTCAATCTTTAGCTATAAAAGTTAAATTATATAATAAAATTTGAAATTTGAAATTCGAAATTCGAACTAATACCCAGATAGCAATTGTGTAATGATATTATTATTATTACAGTACACAAAAAAACATATTTTAAAACATTTTTATTGGCCCAGTGGCGTACATTCAAATTTGCTCTGGGGGAGGTTTAAAAAAAATAAACACCATTAAAACCTTCTCTTTGCAACTACCCATTTTCCTAACAATCAAACACATTACACGTATAAATATTAATAGGCAAAATAGCAAAACAAATACAATAAGGTTTACGTAACTCATGGCAGTTAAATATTATTTAATATGCACATAGTAAGTACAGAATATTATAAATATTATATTATTAATTATTTATAATAAAAATTCTATTGATTGTGATATTCTAAATTCGAATGATTTTTAAAGTCTTCCAATGCATGTTTCCAATCATCATATTTTTTTAATACAAATGCTCCCAATTTTTGGTTATTAACACCGGCTTCATTTTTAGTAAAAGCAACACAATATTTGCAATACGCACCATTGTTTACTTCTGAATAGGCCAACCAGGGAAAGTTAATTAGCCATTTACATTGAAATTTCAACCTCAAAACTTTTTGTTGTTTACCGACTACTGATATTTTGATAGGAAAATTGTAATTAATATCAGGGACCCAAATTTTGCTCAAAATTTCTTCTATTTCACTTTGCGTTAACAATTTATTTGTGTAATGTGCAATGTCAAAAATATTATAACTGGAAGATGTACGATTAATATCTGTAGTCGAAAGTGTAAACTGAGTGATAGGTGTATCAGATGCAGATGCAGTTGATGGTAATGACTAATGAGGAACTAGAGGAACTTATAACTGTTTGAGTTGCATTCAATGAATTTGACAATGAATTCATTATTGAGGGTGGTTTCGAAAAAAAAGATTGCAGTTTCGATTGTTTTTTTTCAGCCATGATTACTATTTATTTTACCTTCAAATCCTAAAATATATCGAAATCGAATGATAATGATTATGATGTGATAATAATAATTTTTAACTTAACTACTAATTTACTAAATTTATTTTTTAATCAACGTTAAATTAACGAATTATTTTTTTTATTTGTAAGTTAATTTATTTTTTTTTTCATTTTTTTACATTTAATTATTTGAGTCAATTTTGTTGCCATGTCAAAATTTCAAAAAAATAGATTATAGACATAATATTATGATATAGTTTGCCGACACTAAAATCTAAAAATAAACAAAAAAAAAAATCAATTACCTATTGATTTTATGATTTTACAGTTTTGTGAGATTATTAATTATTATTAAAAATTATTATTAACAGTATTCACGTTGATAGTTAAAACATTAAAATTAAAAATACCTACTCATCGTATTATGATGTACACAAATAATATCTGTTTGAAAGACAACTAAAATATATAATACTTATTTATTATTATTTATTACTTATTACTTATGTGATAGGTAACTTCTGTACTTAAAAATACAATATATACTATATCTTTATGTGTATGCATATTAACTTAACTGAGTTAAAAAAAAAAAAACTTAACTCGCCCAGTCTTGTGTGTTTATAATGAGTCGGTCGAGATAAAGACAATATTAATATGTATTTATATCCGCACGCAACTAACTGACTGTGTACGATCAAAATAATGTCTATTTTGATTGATATACCATATTATACGGTACCCATAATTTCGTTATGAAATCTTTTTTCATTGTTGGTTAAGTATTGTGTTTACTGTTTACTCAATAGTCATATTATTATGACGCATATTTGTGTATACACGGTTGATTAATAATAAGAAATTCATCAATAATATCACATTATTTTTTTTATTTTTTTTTGGTCCTGGGGGGGGTTTGAACCCGAAACCCCCCCCCCCGTATGTACGCCACTGGGCCAATAAAATTATTGAATTACTTACAAACGAATCAAAACCTATGCAAACAGAAGATACTGAAGATATAAATACAATCAACATAAAAAGAATATTGAAAAACAACCACGTTTCTTTACTAAAAATAAAAAAATAAACTTGAATTTCTTCAATTGTCGTCGAGTGAAGGTAATATAATAAGAAAATCCTTACTAAATAATACAAGTGTTTTAAATGTTCATTCATATCACGATCATTCTTATAGCGCTAAAAGAAAATGAATTTCTTAATATATTGTTGAATTGTATCTTTTAAATGACGATCGTAAGTGAATAATGAATATTGTGTTTTTTTTTGAATTGTGTATTATTAAATTTATTAACTATTAATGTATTTAACTATTTTAATTATAATTTATAATGTAAAAATATCATGTTAGTTGGATAGTTATGTTATTATAATAACATTATTTTTATAACAATATTTGTGAACTATAATAATAATAATATCATTACACAATTGCTATCTGGGTACTAGTTCGAATTTTGAAAATATTTATCAAATTTTAAATTGTATTATATAATTTACCTTTTATAGCTAAAGATTGAAAATTTAAAATAATGTTCCACGTAAATAGGTTGTACATTTATACTGTATTCTCAATGAATTGTGTATTTTTAAATTTTAAATTACGATATTGTGTTTTTTAATAACTTGTTAACTATTAATGTATTTAACTATTTTAATTATAATTAATATAATAAAATATAATATTATAATTTATAATGAAACTTATGTTATCGGTTTATCAATGTTGTCACATTTTGATAACTGCAAAAAAGGGGCTAAATGTAGGCAATATTATATACGGACACAAAAAATTTTTTCCTGCGAAGATCCATTCGTTGTTATTTCGTCATGAATACGATGATGTCTGATTAGACTGGTTTGCGATTAGGTATTAACAGATACGAGCGTCTAGAGAGTAGAGACCACGATTAAAGATATACAGGTTGCACATCGACTACTGATAAGGTGAAATACGAAATGACTACCAATAATTAACCAGTGGCGCTCCAAGCGGCAGTATTACAATTAACCAATTATAGAGATATAGGTGTAAAATTAGTTCTAAATGTCGACACATATGGTTGAGTGTTGAAATTAAGCGCCACTAGTTAATTATTAACAGCTGATTTTTATAGTCACTTTGTAAATCAGTCTGGAAGCGGTTTACTATAGGGCGATGTGCAACCTGTATATCTTTAATCGTGGTAGAGACCATACTATTTTCTATGTTATAACCTCAAATATTTTTCCAATTATTTCCCGTGTGATAAGTTTGCATGGCATATCTATTATCTATGCTAGAGACTGATAGTGCCTATTATATCATATCTTATGTGCTCTCTGAAATAATTGCAGCTGACATCGTGGTTCCGTGGTTATATGATATGGAAGTATACCTTATACTGGGTTAACGTTAATCACATAAAAATACGTTAGTTATTAAATAAACGGTTAAGGTTATAAGATAACTCATAAGTCATAACAAACTGAATCTGTGAGTCCGTGACTCATGGTCGTAGGTATTTTATTTTTTAATATACCTAATACCCTATTGGTTCTTCTATAAAGTATAATTATTGTCTTTATTATTATTTAATAATTTAATACTTTAATCAAACATATATTACCTGAATTGATTTATAACACGTGGATTGGATGCTTGGCGATTACATTTGTACAATTTATGGGTACCTAAGTACTAAGTTTCACTAGTTGGTAGTTGCAAAAATTAAAATAAATAATACAATATGTTATTAACTTAAGACATTTTGATTTCAGTTTAATCATTTATACATAATATACTATTTTTGTTCAAATGTATACCTAACCAAGGAACACTGGTACTTACTGGATAATACATGACTTGTTATGCAATCAAATGACATATGACAACACAGAAATATTGCAACCAACTATGATGTTCCTGCGACCTGCCAGTTATTGTAGAGTTTGTTTTGATGACAGATGATTTGAAGGATATAGGTACAGGGTGTTTTAAGTGTTTTGTCATAGTATATTTCACTATGAAATATGTAAATTATGAAAATCTGACCTATGTTAAAACAATTTGGAATCATAATATATTCTAGTTGAATTTGATATTAATTCATTGGCATGAATTTGTGGTTTTAAACTAAAATCAGAAGATTTAAATATTATGCTACTTTAAATTTAAATATGATTTGAAACTACCTATCACATACAATTCAGAAGATCCTGTATGTTTAATTACAATTGAAAATGGCAACAAAATAAAAATAATGTTTCACATATTGGATTTAAATATTTCAACAGACTACAAAACAAATTAAGTATGTATAAATATTTTTAATTGTAATATTATTTAATTATTATAGTGAGAATTACATTTTTTTAGATAATCAAGATAATTGTAAAGAAGTGGAAAAAATCTAGCTGGACTAAAAACATATCACCAATGATGTGTATTGAAAAAAAAAAAATGTTGCTAATGTTAATGTTTTGTAAATTGAATAATATTTTATAATTAATTTAAATGAGGTGACAA